ACCACCCTGCCCCGATACACACACGTTTTCACATCATCCTGCTTCATCGGGGCTGGGATGTGGTTCCATAGTAGAGCATTTACATAGCGTTTGGGAGGCTCTGGATTAACTATAAAAAATAAATAGGAGAGAGGGAAGCAGGGAGGTAAGCAGGAGGGTAAGCAGGCAAATACAGAATGCCAACAGAGGAAGATGCAGACAGGTGTGTGGGGAGGGCAAGGGTCAGATGGCGACTGCACATGGGTTTGGTCCTCTAGGTTCAACTCCATGCTCTCCTCTCTCCGATGATGCTCAGTATAGAGCCTGGGAGGTCCAGGCCTGTGGGAGTCTGTACTTTATCACCCAAAGTCACATGTGTGTTCTGCATGTGACTCACATGTCTGTTCACATACAGAGGCCATGTGAGAGGCCTCGTGAAGCGCTTGGGTTCTTCTTTTTTTAAGATTTATTTATTTATTATGTATAGTGTTCTATCTGCATGTATCCCTGCAGCACAGAAGAGGGAGCCAGATCTCATTACAGATGGTTGTGAGCCACTATGTGGTTGCTGGGAATTGAACTCAGGACCTTGGAAAAACAGCCAGTGTTATTAACCACTAAGCCATCTCTCCAGCCCCAAAGCATTCAGGTTATAAGCTGGCTGTACTTTTCCCCGGTCTTGTCCTTGCAGGGCCATCCCTCTAGTGGGGGACACTATGGTAGGTCACTCCTGCCTGTGGCTTCCCTCCAGCTGGGGTTATGCGTACCTCTAAAATTCTGACTCACACACAGGACCACTGTACTCCTTACAGGTCTCCAAAGTTGGGGCATTAGGCAAAAGTCAGGATGGAAGCTGAGCGGTGGTGGCACATGCCTTCAATCCCAGCAGAAGCAGGCATGGATCTCAGTGAAATTGATGGTGGCCTGATGTACAAAGTAAGTTCCAGGACAGCCAGAACTATTATACAGAGAAATCCAGTCTCAAAAAACAAAACAAAACAAAAAGTCAGGATGGAATCCCAGTGTTCTGGAGACTGGAGCAGGAAGATTGTGAATTTGAGGGCAGCCAGGGCTGTGTGGCGAGAGATCTTGTATCAAGAAACCAAACGAGATAACAATATAAATCACGAAAATTACCCTTGAGACTATCCAAGAGCTGTGGTGACAGGTACTACCTGTCAGTTGCCCAGCCCCTACCATTCCTGCCATGTCAGGGTGGTTCCAGGTGTCTCCGTTGGCCCCTCCAGTGGCTCTCCATCTCTCTACTCTGATGTCCTGAGAGACACTTGGTCTATAGCCATATCACACTCAGCCTGGGAGTGGTACAGCCAGGGAAGGCATGACCTTCACACTTGTGTGTCCCCTCTGCCTCCTTGTCTGGGAGAGCAGAGAGGACTGTGACATCACAGCTGGCAGCATCAGGCATAGACTGTGGGCCAAACACACAGTGCTGAGGAACAGACCCTGCAGGTCCTGGTGGCTTTGAATAAAGGCATTGAGAACCAGCAGACAGAGTAAGAAGCCTGGAGGTCAGCCATTCCAGGAGCCATTCAGCAGCTCCCCACCTCCCTCCTTCCTCAACCAATGTCAGTCTACATACAGCCTCACACTGGATGCCTCAGGGACACATAACAGCTGCTGCAGCCCCCCCCCCCCACAACACACGA